TTGCTTGTTAACTGCTTTTCAGCTATTAGGAACCTTTGGATTGACAAGTTTTATAGCACTGGTTGAGTTTCTTTCAATCCTTAGTGAAAGAAGTTTTAAATACAATTTTCAGGACTTAATTTTTTTTTCTGGAATAAATAGCAAAAAAGTGATTAAAACTTTGATTTTAGAAAGTTACAACTGGACTAAGGGTCCAGATAAATTTGAAATAAGATTTTGGAATTAATTATAAAGAATCATTCCTGTGGGAAAATGCTTTTGTTTTGAATTCTTTATAAAAAAAAAAAAGACTTTAAAAATTGGACACTAGAGGAAACTAGAAGGAACTAATGATTACAATTAAAGGAGAAGAACACTCAAATTCAACTTACTAATACAGAATTAAGCAAAATATTTTAACGCTGGACATATTGAAGGATATTTTTGAACATTGCACCCAGAAGTTAATTTTAACAGTGTCTTCCTCTATAGACAGACTGTGTTTAAAAGATGCTATGGAAGAGGAACAAGTATTACTTGACATGATTGAGATGGATTTGAAAGTGGATTTAAAAATGACAGGCTACAAGAATGTCATGGAAAAAGATGTTACATGGGACATACAAAAGAATCTGGCTGATGTCTTAATAGTTAAAAGGGATATACAAATAACAAACCAAGAGAGTGAATTTTCCTATATTGGATTTACAAAAGAGCCTTGTTAAAGCTTTGAAGAATGTTGTGAGACAGGACAAAAATGAAAAGAAATCAAGTTCTAGGACATTATTTGAAAGGACTAAAGATAAAGATTGTTAGAAGTAAAAGGAAGGAATATGAAGTTCGTTTATTTGATCAAGATTAAAACAGCTATATTGTTATCTCTGGTAACCCTTAATGGACTTTTGCTGATGACAGGACTGAAATGATGAGGTTTTATGGATTTATTTATAGATAAGAGATGAGATATGGGAAGAAAAAATCATTTGTTGTATTTTAAGAGAAGTTACTAAAATTGTTTATACTTGTGATGAAGGGAGAAGTCATTTTATATATTTCTTCTTTACTATATTTTTTTTCTATTTTTCTATTTTTTTCTTTTTTTCTTGTCTGTTTTTGTTTTCTGAAAAAAACTTTGTTTTTTTATTCTTTTTTTTAGTTTATATTAATTTTTATTGTTGTAAATTGTAATCTTTAATAAAATCACTATTTAAAAAAAAAGATAATGTATCTATTTTCCAGTGTTGGGCTAAATTTATCCTTGCCATCATAAACATATTTCTTAGTAAAGTATGCTATTTTTTATTAATATATTTTGGAATTATGCCTAGTAAGAAGAATTGTGATTTCATTTCAGATTTTATTTCTAAAATTCTTTGAATAGTACTGAGTCTTTCTTTCCAGTACTTTTGAGTTTTATATGTCCACCACATATAGTAAAAATGTTATTTCTCTCTTATGGCATTTCTAGCATTTATTACTATATGATTTGTCTATCTTGGCAATTAGTGATGGAGTTGTATACCATCTATTAAAAATTTGACAACTTGGGGTCAATTTTATAGATTTGTTCCATAACTGACACTGAAAAAGGCATCAAGCAAGGTTACATATTGCCCCCACTCTTATTCAATTTTTGTATCAACTCCATGGTGGGCCATCTCCACAACATGGACTTTCACTCCCCAAAACTTGCTGGAAGACACATCTCTCTTCTACTCTTTGCAGATGATACAGCAATACTTTCAAGAACACCTGTTGGCCTTAAAACAACACTGAGAGCACTAGTGCAATATTGCAAGGAACATCAGCTGGAACTCAATTATCAGAAAAGCAAAATCTTGCCATTTGCTAAAAGGCCCAAGAGCCATTCCTGGAGCATAGATGGCCACAAAATTGAGCAGGTCTCCTGTTTCAAATAGTCCTTCATTTTGCCAGCAGTAGGAAAGCCCACAGGGACTACATTGCTGAAAATGCACAGAGGAACTCATCTACAATCCTAACATTTCTTGAGACAAGAGGTGCCCACTACATACCTGCAGTTCTAAAATTGTGTGGAGCCAAACCAAATTCTACACCTTTTCTATTGTGCCCAACTGGGCTCCTTCTCTAGTTTTGCGCCATTAGAACTTGTACAATCCAAATTTTTAAGATCAGCTCTTCAAGTCCCTAATTGTATCTCTAATGCCACCCTGCAACTAGAGATAGGCTTCATGAAAGTGGAGACTAGACTGTGGGTGATCATACTCAACTATTGGGTCAGACTGTCTTTTTCCTCCCTTGGCCTTGACCCATTAACTATGAGTGACAACTTTCAATCCACATGCAAATAGGCAGTGGCAACTAAAATCTCATCCTTGGCTTCTCTCCAGGTCTTCTACTCAGCATGGGATATGATCAGGCCAAATGACTTATTAAACAGCATGTAGGAGACATAGAGCACCGATTGGATCTAGCCAGGACCCCAAACTTTATTGCCAGTGAATCCAACAAGTACTCTGGCTACCCTGTGGGATACCTAGCTAAACTTGAAGTACCAAAATGATGTCATACCCTCCCTTCAGCTGTCCTTGAAGGCTGATACAGGAAGATTCCTTGCAAAGAAACAATGCCCTTGTGATTCTGGACACAGAAAAACAGACCATGCGCATCTCCAGTATTTGTACTACAGGGACATCTGTACTAACCTCATCTCACCATTACTGCATACATATCCAGGGTACACAGGACAATTTTACACCACCCTGTTGCTTTCATATACCAACCCTGCTACAACATATGTTGCCAGGTTCTGTGCAGCAGCATTCAAAATTCCTTTATGACCTGTACTACAAACTAGATTTAATGAGCACCTAGTTCGCCATACTAGAGTGCTTTGTAACTTGATAGTCTTCCACATACTAATCTTATATGCTCCCTGATACTCATCTAATGTTCTTACTCCTTCTTTCAGATTTTTTTAATTCATATCTTTTATATCTTCTAGCTTCTATTTTTTTTAGATTTACATTTTCATTCCTGATGTATTCTTTATGGTTTTTTAATTACTGTACCCCACCTTCCTTATCCTGGACTATGGCCATAATCAAGATTTGATTTGATTTGATGTTACATCTGTTTTATTTCTTCTGAAGAAACAGCCTTTTGCTCAGGAATCAGGCAGATGTACTGTCTGATGTACTCACAATATGAAGATGATACTGGTGCAGCATACCTAATGCTAAGCTTACATTCATCAAAGATGATATTGTGGTTCTCTATGTTACAGTACAGATGGGAATGTGAATTACTACCTCATTTTTTGAGCTATGTATGTACTGTTCATAATATAGCTAGATTTAAGACTCTTGAATCAAACCCTTCATAGTTCTGATAAAGCTGCATCCAAATGAATTGTACCTAAAGCAGTAATTTGTA